ACAAGGGGAGAGGATGTGATCGGGACATTCCTAGAAGACCTTCGGGTCCCTTAGACTCTTCCCTAACACCGAACACACCAAAGTTGATTAAAGCGCTTTATTCACAAACTAGGAAATGTTGACAATAATATAATCGCTAGCTAGCACATAATAAATAATAATTTAATACAACTGAACCGTGTATAACTGTGATCAAATCATTTAAATAAACATTTAAGTGGCAGGGACAATAGGCTAATGGATAGTTTAAATAATGTGAACGGAAATATATGTCGGCGGTAAAATTCAGATTTAGGAAAAATTCAATTTTTCCGGAAAATTTCATTTTTTCCGGAAAAATTCAATTTTTCCGAGCATTTAGGAAAATTTCAGATATTAAATTAATTTAATAGTCTGTCTTACACTATTTCGCTTGTTTTTCGTTTTTTGAGTATGTTTTTTCTTGTTTGTTTTTCTTGTTTGTTTTTCTTTTGTTTTATGTTTGTTTTTTTGTTGTTTGTCCTTTTTAAGATTTTCCCTTGTTTTTATTTTTTATTTTGGGTTTTAGTTCGTGCTTTTTAATTTTTGTGCTACAACTGAATGGTTAGGTCGGCATTTCAATGCTGAAAATCGGTCAAAGGAATAGGTTTACGTTACTGTTGTAGAACCCAGCGACCGTTGACTTCCGCGAGACGCGTGCCGCGAAACCCCGCGCGAAGCGCGGGGTTTCGCACAAGCGTCTAGCCGACTCCCCATAGGTTTATGTTGTTGTTTTTCGTGTGTTTTTTAAAAATCCAAACTTATTTAATATGGTGCTCTTGACTAAATCAAGAAATTTATAGATAACCCACTAAAAAACAAAAACACACATAAAAACGCAAAAAAACATAAAACTAGCCCAGACTCAACTGACATCTTTATTATTATCTGAAATTTTCCTAAATGCTCGGAAAAATTGAATTTTTCCGGAAAAATTGAAATTTTCCGGAAAAATTGAATTTTTCCTAAATCTGAATTTTTCCGCCGACATATAATCGAACAAATTCCCAATATTTACTAGGAAAGGACTTAGAGTCCTACAATTCTAAATCGGTTGTTTACAAATAGTAAATGAATTGTTTGATCAGCTGAATTAAATTAATAAAGAATATATTTCTCTCTCGTTTCAAGCACAACTAGGCCAGGAAAAAATATGGAAATCCATCTAAATCTCATCCCTAGTGATAATAACTCACTGAAAACAAAAGATTTTTAAAAATAAAAACGGATTTGAGCTCAATTCATTATAACTATATCGCAAGAAATAGGTTATAACTAAAGTGAGGATTTATAGGCAAGTAAAAACAATGAAATTGACGACTAAAATAGGCACTAAAAAGCCAAAAAGGATTTTTTAAATTTAAACTTATTTTTAAAATAAATTTTGAATAAAAAACTATTAACTTAAATAGATATAAACATTACCAAAAACCTATTAAAATGGATTACAAAAGTTTTGATGTAAAGATAAAATGTTAAAAAATTCTCAGTAAAAAGTTTTTTTATTAATTAAAAATTATTAAACAAATTTAAATTTCTAAAATAAATTTTAAATTGGGGAGAGAGGAAGGGAGGGGAGAGAGGGAGCGAGCGAGCGGACGTAAGGGAGAGGAATTTTATTTACTCTCTTATTAGTCGAGAAAAATCAATTTGATAAAGTCGCTCAATGGCACTTTAATCCTACTATCGTCTATTCATCTTAACCCTCCTACAATCTTTATCCTTCTATCCTACTTAACTCCAAGAATCCACTGATATCTATTAATCCCCCCATTTCTCTTCCGCCTTCTCTTTATCGAAACAAATCCTCCGATATCTCTCCAAATCCACCTTAATCTTGTAAATCCACTGAGATCTATACTGATTTCCGGCACTACAGGTGAAAATTTGAAACAAAATTTTATATTGGGAAAATTTTAGCATTAAAGGGGGGGGGCATTCTATTAGAAGGGCCATTCAAATGGAGACGGCCATTCTATTTTTCAATCACCCTCTAGGGGGCCATTCTATTAGAAGGGGCCATTCAAATGGAGACGGCCATTCTATTAGAGATAATACGGTATGTTCTTATGTCTAAAGGGAATGACTGGTTTTCAATAGTTTTTATTCTCATACTGAGAATCTAATTCCAATATGTTAAATTTATTCGGTATTAATTAAATTTTTTATTTTATAGCAAAAGAATTCAAACCTTATAATGATCATTTATCTCACTATCAGTGTAAGTATTATTTAGTGTTATGAAATTAGGAATAATGTCAAATCTTTATATTTCCTTTTATAAAAATTAGTAATACCTATGTATTAAAAACTCTACCGAAAAATTTAAAAGACAAGAGTCTAAGGAAATTAAAATAAATGTATGTATGTATGTGTCCAATCAATTTAGATTTAATTTGAAAATTATTTTTTAAAAAGTAAAAAAAAGTTTCTCATGTTGAGCGGTCAGGAGACTTCTTTTCAACACGGCTGACAAGAGCGGGTTTATCTACTAATCTTGCGTTTATCTAATAATGTCTAATAACCACCTCAGCTTAATGCTCGTTTGAACTCGAACTTCGTTTTCCTTACAACATTATTTTCAATTTTATTCAATAATTAGTTTTGCAGATTAATTTTCAAAAACGTATATTTTTAATTAATTAATTAATTTTTATAATAAATATACTTGTTTAATAATATTCATTTTTCTGTTCAAAAACAAAAAATAAATTAGAATTTCTATCAAAAACGTCAATATTTAAAGTTTATTTTAAAAATCTCAGGTTTTTTCAAGCTGCGTCTTGCCCTCTTGAACATTTTTTTGTAACTTTATAAATTTTAAAATAATTATTAAAGGAAAATTGAAGATAGTTAAATTATGACTTTTTTATCTCTTAAAAAATATAAACTTGAATAATTGGAAAGGCTAGAAGAAATGACATAAAAGTTTACTAATAGAGGCAAAATTTCATTACTTGAGTTTGTTATTTCTCTTCATGCAATTTCACAACTTCCCGTTTTCGTCAATAAAATTCATAACTTCATCCTAATTAGCAATAGTATACATTAGTCTAATTATTATAGGTATGACAAAGCCCAGGGTATACCATGTGTGGGTTCACGGAGGTAAACAATCAAACTCAATACACCGTTATCCCTGGTTAAAGAAGGATTGAGGATGGTATCTCACCACTAAAATAATAAAAATACCACAATAATTTTCAATAAATTTATTTATTTTTAGAACCTTCAAGTAGACTGGATTAATTCATTATTTTAAAAATAAGAAATGCATATTTTAATAGTAATTCTAATCATTCAATTTTCTATCTGATTTGCTCTTCTAATACCTCCTAAGGAAGAAACAGGATCGAAAATTGAAGGATTATCCAAGGAAAAGACTGAAGAGAAGCCTGAAGTAACAAAAGAAAGAAGGGAATCTGAAGAGAAAGATGAATTAATACCTGAAGAGAAACCTGAAGGTAAAGATGAAGATTCTGATACAAAAAATGAAGAAAATCCTCAAAGTAAAGCTAAAAGAGGGGAAGATACAATAGCATCAATTCGTGAAAAAGGGGAGAGAGTTATGATAAGGAAAGCTAGATTAATATTTACAGCGGTGCCTGAATTGAAAAATGGTATTAAAAAGGAAGATAAAAAAGAAGGAAATAAAGAAGAAGAAAAAAAGGAAGAGAAAGAAGAAAAGATTTCACAAACAAAGAAAGACTTGGCAAAGAAGGATGAAAAAATTGAATTAAAACCTGAAGAGAAGAAAGAAACTAAGGAAGAGAAGAAAACTGAAACTGCTAAAAATAAAGCACCATAAAAATTGAAATAGAATAAATATAAATTTATTATGATACTATTAAAAGATTCTCTGAATTTTGTGGTAAAAGAAAATTAGTTGTAAAACTTTTGTAAAAATTTAATATGCGGTAATATTCCTTCAGTTTATTAATGATTTTCATATTATAATTTTTCTTGTTAAAACATTTAAAAATTTTAATTAATAAGAGGATCTTTAATTCAAATTTAACAAGAAAAAGTTTTTAAATACATAATAATTCTTTATTCTATTAGCTGTTTGTAAAGCCTTATTTACTACTACACCTTTCCTCTCCTTATTCTCTTTCTTCCGTATCGGGATAAAAATTTTTTATTCATAATAACATTTTATAATTTGTTTAATTAAAAAAATTTTGGTTTTTATTACTATGTAGAATTAAGATAAAATTTTAATTAATATAATTGAAAAAATCAATGGGTTTTAGATAAATAATGAGCCCTTTGCGCTTTTTAGACTTTTTTATGTATAGGTATTCGAATTTTAGTTAGAATTATTTTACATTTACTAGAGTCGATAGTAAAAGCTTTTTTCTACTAGCCAAAACATTTAGAAAATTAATTTTGATTTTTGCAGTTTTTAAAAAATTTTTTATAATTATGTCCTCAAAATCTTCACGTGCAAATCTTTTGCAAAGCATCCAAATACGTATTAAATCATTCATCAAAGCATAAAAAATATAAATTATGTACAACAGAAAAAGAAAATTTAAAACTTGCTTTCGATTCTTGATGCTTGAAATTAATTATAAAAAAATATTTATTTTTTTGCTCAAAATAATAAGCTAATTGTGATTAGAATTTCTTTGAGATAAAAAAATAATAATTTTATTTAATTAAATCACAATTAGCTTATTATTTTGAGCTAAAAAAATAAATATTATTATTTTTATTTAATTTCAAGCATCAAAAATCAAAAAAGAAAGTTTTAAGTTTCTCTTTCTTTTGTATGATTTATAATCCATAAATAATTCATATTTTTTATGCTTTAAAAAATTATTTAATACGTATATGGATGCTTTGCAAAAGATTTGCACGTGCTACTTACTGATTAAATAAACATTAATTCGAATAAATGGTTTTGAATTTAAAGGAATATTCAGAAAGCAATTTCAAAAAATTCCAAAATTTATTAGCAAACTAAAAATTAATTTCAATTAAATAATTCATTCAAAATGCTTGCAAAAATTTTAATTGTTTCAATCTTTTTATTTTCTGTTGAAGGAAAGAATGATTGTGCTGTCCTTGGAGGATGTAAATTTAAACTTTGATAAATACATTTTTGCGTAATAATGACTATTTTGTTTGAAATAGAGTTACACCCCGGAGAGATGGCCAGGGTGTATCGCGAGCCCAACGTACCTCCGAAATATAACTTCGTTCAAAATTATCGGATCCGAGATGTCGTGGGCCCATAGAGCATCCCGGCCTAGAGAGTTCAACTTAATTTTCAAATTATTTTAATGGGGTATAGGATGTACTATTATTTATTTGTACATTTAAAAATCAAATGCTCCACAGAAGTATAATGTCGACCTAAATTTACGAATTTCCTGACTTTTACTGAATCAAACGACAGATTTTTATTTAATATTAATATATAAGATATTATGAAAAATTATAAATATTTATAATTATTATGATTTTTTTAATTGAGGTTAACATAATTTTGTGGTTGTTTTGAGAATATAGTAATTAATAAAAAATTTTACATTGAAAATTTCTTTGATTTTACGTGGGCATAACAATTGTTAAAGTATTAACTAATATCTTCAAAATTATCGGATCCGAGAGAAAAAAATGAGCCCGTTTGATTCGTTAGAAGAAGGAAATCCGAAAATTTATTGTGATAAAAGTTGAGGCAATAAAAATTTGTTCTTTTAATATTTATAGCTTGCAATTTCCCACAAAAATGTTGCGCGACGAGTAGCTTTAATTCTAAATTACAATGTTGTGGATTTGGTTTACATTGTGCTACCAATACCTGTTGCATTCGTAATGGAGGTAAGTTAAAAGTTATTTAATATTGAGAATTACTCGTCAAATTTATAAATATTGTCGATGACGAAATTGAAGAATTAAAGATTTGAAATATTTTTGATATTTTTTATTTTGTTTATTATTTTTGGAGGTGACTCAGTGAGTCACTTTCCATTTTTGACAATTTTTTATGTACTTTTTTGCAATGTACTTAACATTGCATCATTTTTATATAGAAATTTTTGCCTATAAAAAGTAGGCAGAAATTTCACTTTTCAATGTCTTTTGAGATATTCATTTTTTTTTAATATTCTGTGTGAATATTTATTTTGTTTGAAGATAAAGAATTTTAGTTGTGTTTGTGTTTATTTATTTAATTTGTTTTATCTAGTTAATTATTCCGAGGGAATAATTAATTTAAGATATTTTAATTCCCTATTAAAGAATAGGAAGGTGAAATAGTTTTCCCTAAGAAAGGGGAAAGTATTTTTACAAATATAAAATCAAAGTTAACTTGTTTTGGTTTGAAATAATATAATCAATCTAATTATTATTTTGCTTAAATTTAGGGATCTGAGCGTATAATGTAAATTCTAACATAAAAATTTCAATTTATAAGCACTTCGTGGGAGATTTGTGCAATTATATGTACGCTTAAATATTGTCAAAAAATTTTAGTGCTGCAGGCGAAAATTTTGAGAATTTTATGATTAAATTTAATTTTTTTACTTAAAAGTCAATTGTAAGAATTATTAATATCAAAAAATCGTGGATATAAATCGTGGATATCATTTTCATGGGCATCATAGGATTTAGAGGGATCAAGAGGATATCGGGGATGTGGAAAAAAATTTTAATTTGATATTCAGAAATCCCGATTTAACAAGATCCGGATTCCAAGCTGAAACTTTAGGCTCAGTGCTCCGGATGAAAAATCAATGATAATATTTCATCAGGGACCTTGGTTAAATTTGAAACATTTTCTTTATTTATTTTATTCATTCTAGGCTTTATTTCACTTGTTTTTAATTAATATTTACTTTGATAATTTTTATTTGAAGAAAATGCAGAAAAAAAGGAACAATGCTGCACAAATAATGTTAACAAAAAAGGCATATGTGTTGGTTGGTAAATAACAAATATTAATGAAGCAATTGGATGTGCGATTATTATTAAATTAATTTTTGGGTTTTAAAGAAAATTTAAGTTAAAATAATATTAATTTATGCTATTAAATTAATTTTTGGATAATTTATTATTAAATATACTTTTGGGTATAAATAAACATTGTGGTTGATTTAATTAAACAAATAATATCAATTGTATAAATTTTTTATTTCAAAATTCAAGGTTTTCAATTTTCAGGGGCTGTACAATTTTTGTGTAATTTTATTGGATTTTAGGTATATTCTTGAATTTTTGAAAACTTTTAGCCATATTTGAATAAATTTTTCACGGATAAGCCTGAGAATTGATACTCACGTTTATGCCTCACTTGTATTTTCTTAGTTGAAGCCTAATTGAGAATGCGATTAATAAAGTATCAAGTGAAAGAAGATCTGGGAACCCATTGACGGAAAGCCCTTTGACGAAAAGTCGGGGAACCTCGAACTCTCTGTCCTAGCAAAGTGTTGGCACTAAGGAAGAGAAGAAAACTGCTAAAAATAATGCGCCATAAAAATTTGAAAAATAAAAATAAAATATGTAATTAGAAAAATTATTCTGAAGTCTATGTTAAAATAAAATTATTTGTAGATTCTTATGTTTATTTTTTCAAAAATTTAATTATTATAATTTTTTTATATTTTGAAAATATTTTTTTCACATAAAATTTGTAACTATAACAAGTTTTTAAATGTTTCAACAAGTAAAATTGAAAAATTATGAAAATCTATCAATAAATTGGGGAATTAATATTTGGTGAGTTTAATCAAGGATTGCAAATTAACATTTGACGGCAAAATCATTTTTCAAAATCGGAAACCTTTAGATTTCATAATCGTGCCGGGCAAGATCTGTACATAACTTCTGGCTTAATCCAGAGAAATAATTACGTGTAATGAACGATGCCGAATAAGTAGAAAGAGAATATTCTCATCCCTGAGGACGGGATTCGAACACTAGTAAAATTACTTATTTGCTCCCGACAGTAATATATTTAATTTCTTTAATTATTTTATTTTCTAGTTAAACATTTTAAGATTTATTGAAACCATAAAGTTTTATAATTTATTTAAATTGTTTTTAATTAACTAAAAGTGCATAACTCTTGTTATGAAATTATTAAATATTTACAGACATTATAAAAAATCGAATAATTGAGTGTGTGATTCTCTTTAATCTGCCGCTTATGTATTCTCGTGATTTATTTCTTAACATATCAATAAATGTCGCTCTTAAATGCCGCTCTGCTAAGCAATAACATTTAAAAAAATTTTTTAATAATTAATGTTTAATAATTAAATAAAACAGCGGATACGTTCAAATATATATCCTTAACTTCAGTTTATATTTACTATTTGGTAGGCCATTAAGAGGGGACTATAAGAATTCTTTAAAATTTTTAATCACAAATCACTACATAAATTCGAGATACGACTGTATTCTCTTATAAACTTATAAGAATAAAATACTTTAACATATAATTTAATTAGCAATTTTTAGATGAAATTAACTAATTATGTGATTTTTTTCTTAAATATTTTAAACTTTTTTGCTTTATTGGAAGGTGCAGGGGATAGTAAAGGAAAGGAAAAACTGATTGGGACTACAAGCGGTAGTGAAAAAAGAAATGATTTAGATGTTCAATATACGCGTAAGTTGCTAGATTTGTCTAATGTGAAAAGAATAAATAAAAAATTCAATCTTAATTGTAGTGTTGGAATGGAAGTTTAATCTTTCCGCTTTAATCACTTTTTGGTAAAAGGAATTAAAATATCATTAAATGATTTTCAATACAAGGAAGTTTCTACTGACCAAAAGTAAAAATCAAGATAGATTAGAAGCTTACAAAATTTTTGTTACTTTTTGGTTGTCTCTCCCATTTTCTTTATCTCCTTTTTAATAATTCGATCAGCTATAACTTTTTTATCATTGAAATATCCTGACAAGATAGAATGAAAATCACCATCCTGGAATAATTTATTGTGTAGGATGATATAGAAAGACTAAAATCTAGGGCTATCTATGGCTACCTAAATAGACTAAAATCTAGGGCTATCAAAGTATCCCTGATCAAAGTATTCCCATTAAATGGTAACGATAAGCTTTTTGTGTTAGATAATCTCGCCAATCCATTATTATTAGATCAAATTATATTTTTGGCTTAAATTTTTTTGAATTTTATCTTAGAAATAAACTTTATAAAAATTTTTAGCTGGAAATAATGCAACAGTCAATACACAACCTCGTCTAATGCAAGATTTTAGTATTGTGAGTAACGAGGAACTTGAAACCTCAAAGGATATAAAACGCAAAAGAGGTATTATATGTAGAATAAAAATATAATAAGCTTTTCTTTACTAAATAAGCACGAGGTATTAAAAATGCGGTGATGAAGTATTTTTTTATCTAGCTGTTTATTAACCTTCAAATGCTGATAATAAAGTTAACAAAGGAATAAACGATTATGTCCGAATGAGCTTTAAAATGTTTTTACGATTTGTGATATCTCTATATGTATATACTATTCTCTTAAACTCTGTTATCTAAGCTCCCAAAATTATCCTTTAAGCCAATGAAGGAATTAATCTTTTCTTATTTGGATTTTATGCTTTAATGGATACACCATATTTACTATTATATAGAGTTGGCCGGTATCGGGATTTAGAGAAAAACCCGGGAGTCTTTCGCTTGATATTGAGGTAGCAGGTATTGAATGGACAATTCTCGCCAAACGAAACAAATCTGGAAAATGTCCTCCATTCATATTCCAACACTTAAATATATCTGCATCGATAGGTGCTCTTTCAGTTCCTCTTAAACTTGCAAGTTGTACTTCAATTCGTGAAGAAAGTGTTGAAGCCATAGGTGTCGTAGATTTTGGACGTTGAAAAATGTCATCTGAATTAATAATTAAATTTAATTTTTAAATATAAATATTACAATGCAAATAGTACATTGTGCCTTCTCAGTATTCAGTTTCTCGAAATATTTCCAAACTTCTGACATTTGAAATCTTAACTCAAATAGAAATAAATTATTAAAAAATGTAAAAATAAAATTCTAGTAATTTCAGTCTAAAAAGTCGCGTTTTATTGGAACATTAATACATAATAAAAATTGTCAATTAGGTAAATCAATAAATTGTCAATAAAAATTACAAAATAAAATATTTATAAAATCGGGATTTTCTCCGGGATCTGATGCACATCCCGATCCCGGATCCCGGCTCGGGATTGAGACTGGCCGGGATCGGGATATTTATTTCGGGACCGGGATCAGAAAAATCGGGATCGGGATTCGAAAAACCCGGGATAATCCCGCCCGATCCCGACCGGGATCCCGATCCCGCTGAACTCTACTATTATAGAGGACAAATCAAAAATTTTGACTCATTTTAATGTAAATAATGGAATAGCTACCTGTAAAGAATGCGATCAAACGTGCCCTCAAGCTTATGTGGTGAAAGACAATGGACCTATAATAAAGTTAAAGGCACATCTTGAAAAGCATGGCATTAATATACAAAATGTGCTAAATTGTGATGGATTACCAAAACGTAATTTTAAAAAATTATTGAATATACGGCAAGGTAGGTTAATAAAGGGCTGGTACTAGTAAAAGAATGTCAGGCTTTGTCAGGCTTATTCAGTTTTGTCAAACTTATTCAGTCCTATTTGATTAAATGCTCCCAAGATTAATCTTTAACTTTATAACTGGATTTCAAAATTTTATAAACTTTTTGTTTAAATACATAAAATTAAGAAATATATAATATTATAGGAAGGAAATCACTAGCCTGGAATCATTTTAATGCGGAGAATGGTATGGCTCAATGTAATATATGCTCAACGAGATATAAAACTTATTTGGGATGTACGACTGCTTTAAAGAAACATCTTAAAAATGCCCATCAAATTCATGTCCCTAATGTGAAAGAAAATAAAGGTAATTTAAATTTTTAATTATATATTAATAAAAACGAATATATTCATCACAAGCGTTGTCGGTCAGGATATTAGAGAGTTTTGGATACGGTGTTTTCCTATGCAGACGTATACATATCTAAACATAACATACAGTAATGGACTTAGTGAGGGTTATTAAAGAGAAGTTCTCATTAAGACATTGTCATTATACTTGTTGCAATAATTTTTGCATGAAACATAGTAGAAATGGATTTGAACTCGATATTAAACCTTTAATTTTTAGGAAGCAATGAGGAAGGTACAAATGTTGAAGCAGGAGACGGCGGAGAATCTAAAGATATTGAATCAGGAGATCGTGAAGGAGTTCCATATGTTAAAGCAGGGGACGGAGAAGAAGCTGCAAATGTTGAAGGAGATGGTGAAGAAGCATCAGATAGTGACGCTACGGTTTCAGATTTCAACTAAATCTAAACTATTTAAAGCAGTAATGGACTATTTCGCTATAAAAAAGGAAAGACAAAAAATTTAAAAAATTCTGTATCTGACAAAAAAAAATTTAAAATAAAAAAATCATGAAATATTAAAATGCAAAAAAAAAATATTGCAAAAAGTAAACAAAATTATGTATTTATTAACTTTGCTTCATTGTATTCATTCATTTATAATTAGTATTAGAATGAAAATTAAATTTACATACCATTTTTTATTTATTCGGGAAAATTTAAATTTTTTTAAAATAAGTTATTGTGTATGCTCTCGTGTTAGCTCTCGTGAGTTTCCTGCGGCTACAACTCTGTGTCCAAGCAAAGGGTTGGCACTTTGAATTTTTTGATTAATATACGTATACTTTATTAATTCACTATCAATAAAGATATATTGGTATATTTGATTAAATTATTTCTAATTCTAATACAATATGGCATAAATAATTTGATCGGTAACATTTGTGTCGCCTTTTATGAATAAATTTTGTAGTTGATTTAAACTAGAAATTATGTATAAAAAATAAATTTTATATAAGATTATATAATATTTATCATAAAAAATGAAAAGTATGGACATGTAATATAAATAAGATTAAAATAAGCTAAAAAGTTAATTGTATGCTTTCGATAATTCTTTTAAATTGACTCCTAAATTCGTTTTGAGAATGCTGTTTATTTTCGTCCCCATCCCCAACCACCATAACCATATCCTCCACAACATCCCCATCCTCCACCATAACCTCCACCCCATCCCCATCCTCCTCCAAAACCGCCCCAACCTCCATAGCCACCCCATCCACCATATCCATAGCCCCAGCGTTTTTGCCGTTCACTTAATCGTTAAATTATTAAATAATATTTAAATCAAGTTACTCTTTTCCATCTCCTGATTTGACAATAAACGGAGGAGCAACATCAGATTTTTCTTTATTTTTAGATTGAAATATTAGATTAGGGTTTGCTTCAGGTTTTACAGCCCCTTCTATTGTTTTTGACTGTGCCGTTATTTCTGCTTTTTCATCTTTTTTTGCTTCATTTACTGGGCCTTTTTCAGCCGCATAAGCAAATGATAATATTAAAGCTATTAGGAAAAATTTTATAAAAATAGAATTCATTTTTATAAAGTGAAAGTTTCTAAAAATTTATTTAATAAGTTCAGTAAGTAAGCAAATAGTCGCGAGTAGGGCGTTTTGTAATTTGAGGTGTATTAGGCCATTTGGATAATTATTGTCAAAAATCTCACTGTAGGGGTAATTAATGGGGGGGGGATTCCGCGGAGCTATAACTTTGTCAAAAATTGTCGAATCCGTGGCGCCCTGGTGTGGGTGCCGGAATTTTCGTCTCTGGAAATTTCGTCTCCAAGACTTTTCGGAACTTTCGTCTCCAACATTTTCGGAATTTTCGTCTCCAGCGGAATATTCGTCTCCAAGGGAATAAACGGAATATTCGTCTCCGCAATTTTCGTCTCCGCTAGGAACTTTCGTCTCCAGAGGAAAATTACCTGTTGACGGAACAACATCCCCAGTTAACGGAACATCATCCCCGTTAACGGAACAACATCCCCCGTTGACGGAATAACATCCCCCTTTACCGGTACAACATCCCCTTTTACCAAACAACATACCCCGTTGACGGAACAACATCCCCGTTAACGGAACAACATCCCCGTTAACGGAACAACATCCCCAGTTGCGAAACAACTTTTCCCGTTGCCGGAACACATCATTTTTTCTCTGGTCCGTCAACGGGTAATTTTACTCTGGAGACGAAAATTCCTAGCGGAGACGAAAATTGCGGAGACGAATATTCCGTTTATTTCCTTGGAGACGAATATTCCGCTGGAGACGAAAATTCCGAAAATGTTGGAGACGAAAGTTCCGAAAAGTCTTGGAGACGAAATTTCCAGAGACGAAAATTCCGTACACCCCTGGTGTGGTCCTATTCAGCTGGTCGAGATGCATCGAACCAAGGCAGGGCGCCACGGATTCGGCAATTTTGAACAAAGTTACGGTACATCAGTTTGTTCCCTATTATTTGAGATAAGGTAATTATTCGAGTATTCTAGAATAATTATCGGGTTGGTGTAAAAGATGCGACACAAGTCCGCCAAACCAAAATGATGGTTCTATTAAACACTATTTAGTTTCATAAAAAAAGCTAGTTCCTTCGGCTTTATTATAGGACATCTGTAGTTCTGTAGGTTATTGTGGGTTTTTAGAGAGTTTTCGAGTTTTCCAGATTCTATTGTTAAATGAAACCGAAACGGCAAACCGAGTCGAATATCTTCTGTTTTTAGGGTCGATTCGGTTTGAAATCGTCAACCCTAGTAGTGAGTGTTCTGTAGAAGTTGTGATTGCTATAAAAATTCATTAAAAAGTAGTTGAGCAGTGAGTGATAGAATATAATTTAGTGACAATGAATCTCTGTAAATTTATTTTATAATAGTAAAATTATGAGCACATTTTTATAATTTATTTCAGCATTTGAGGAATTCCAATTAATTTTTTACATCATAAGACTATATCCAACAAACCACAAAACTAGAAAAAATAATTTGCAAAAATAAATAATGAATCATCACAAAATAATGACCTTTTAAATTAAAAACCTCAAGATATTTTATAGTTTAAATTAAAAAGTTTTTTTATTTTATTTATTTTTATTTAAATGCGTCATCTTCCGTTTGAGTATTCAAAATAAACAATTAAATAAATTATAATTTTAGTAAATTGAAGAGATTTTTTAAGTTTTTCATTGAAAAATGTTCATAAATAAAATATAAAAATATTTTTGTTATTATTTTTTATAAAAGAAATTCGTTTAAAACATAGCCTATATACTATAAATTTGTTTGGCGAATTTAAAGAAAAATTTTTTGTGAATAAACTTTGCAGAAAAAATTAATTATTAAACTAAAATAATATGCACTATTTATCAAACACAATTAATGAAATCTGATTGCAAAGTATAGATAAATCAATCCCCTGATGAATAGCTAGATAGTGGTCTCTACTTTTTGTTTAACATCATTCAATAATCTTTCACTTCAATTATCTCTTAGAACCAAACAATTTAACAATAATATAAACGAATCCAAACATTAAAGCTAATACTGAAATAATTCCAAATCCAGCAAGAATTGCCGTGCCTGTTGAAGCCAAAAATTGTGCCTTTGCTGCCTGTTGCTAAAATTATTAAATGAATGTTTTTTTATTTATTTTAAATATTTATTGAATTCGATCAGTAATATTATTAAATTAAAGCAAGATGAAATTAGATTCTGTTAGTGGGCTGTCCGCATCAGAGGTAGATCGGAATCAGAGTAGCGTAGTAATTACGAATTACGTATCTTTTGAGTTACGAATTACGATTACGAAAAAAATTTTCAATTACCACGCAATCTCCGAAATTTGTTTTCCGAAATTTGAGTTTCCGAAACGTTTTCCGAAATCTGAGCGATTGCAATTTCCGAGTTCCGAATTTTGGGCCATTTCCGACTTCCGGTACCATCGTTATTTCTGATCGACCTCTGTTCCGCGTTTAAAAATTTTTCATATATCTAAAACCGAATTATAGAACCGACATAAAAAATCCTATGTTCTTCATTTCGGTTCGATTCTGAATGATCATAATGGTAATTATTATGTCACGAATAGGGTCGTAAGTTTTTGGAAATACTCAGATATTGGAAATTTTCGGTTAGGTTCCAAAATACAACACTGATTATAAATTAAACACAATATCTATTCTCCTCTTAGGCAAAATAATCTAGTAATTTTAAGCCGAAATTAAATATTAATTTTTTATTAGTCTTCTATTTACCTGGGGACAATATTTAAACGATAATCAAAAAAATTTTGGTGGCCGAACGTTTCGTCAATGAACTTTTCGTCACCGAACCTTTCGTCAAAACCTTTCGTCACTGAACCTTCCGTCACCAAACCTTTCGTCACTGAACCTTTCGTCACTATTCACCATAAAAAAGAGAATGCACATCTGGGCCCGTACAATAAAATCGGGGTTTGGGTTATTTAACCCCTACCCGAGGGTTAAATAACCCTCAACCCGCACAATAAATGAAAACCCCGAGTTAAGGGTTAAATGACCGGGTTATTTAACCCGCAACCCGGGGTTGTTTAACCGGCCGGTACAATAAAAGAGCTACCCGGGGTTAAATAACCCGCAGCTCCGGGTAAAATGACGACCCTGCTAGGGGGCAGGGTAATCGGGTAAAAAGCATAATTTATAAAATATTTTTAAAACAAAAAAAATTTATTTCAAAAATGAAAAAAATATTTTTAACTAATATGTATCTAAAACTAGATTAAATTTGTGAAATTTTCCAGAAATTTTAAAATTTAGCTTTTATCAGTAAAATTTTTATTATTTAAAACGAGAAGCGAGTTCATTCCGCTTCAAAATAGCTTCCTGTCTTGATCTTCTTTCACTTACATTCAAAACATTTTCCTCAAAAAATTCTGTTTCTGGTTGGTCATCCTCAATCTCATCTTCATAGATTGGTAAACGACGATCAATAGCTATGTTGTGCAGAACTGAGCTTGTTCAAATCATTAGGAAAATAAATAAATTCAGAAGCTTTGTTAGCTAACGAGGTTATTACTCTTCTAACAATTGCAGAAACGGTCTGTTGCGTTATACCAAAACTATCACCTACATGAAGTTCAAAAGAGTTGGAAGCCAGATATTTTAAAGTAGTTAGTATCTATTGAATGGAAATTTTAAAACAATTAAAAATTACGAAAAACTTGGATTTCTGGATTTATTTGAGCTCTACCAGGTCCAACATGAGTCAAGTCATCCTTAACTAAATCAACCAAAAACTCTATCCCTTCTCGGTTAAACCGATATCTTTTTATTAATTCATAATCATTAAATCCTTCAGTGGGATTCGAATAATCCCTTACTCCTTTAAAAGCAGAATGAAAAAATCGAGCCATCTAAGAAACTTTAGAACAATTAAAATAAAAAATATATGATATTAGAACACAAGGAAGAATAAATAGGCCAAAAATTAAATTATCAAAAATGAACAAAAAAATAACAACATGTCAAAATTTCAGAGAAGAAATGCTATTAGAAAAGAGATTAAATTTGAGGACAAATTTCGTTAAAGGAGGGAGGAGTGATATGTCCGCTATTATATGTTTTTATTTGTTATCAATTTTTATGAATGCTTCTGCCTTCTCTTTCAAATTGTTCCCCCAAACCATATTTTAAATATAACTTCCTTTTGATCTTTCTCAAAACTTTCCCCTATAACATTTTACACCTTCACATTCAAATATATAATTTTCTTATCTAAATTGTAAGCTAAACTTATTTCCTATTTCCCGCCTATTCCAAAACCCTATAAATACCCATTTGTAATTTCATCTAATTTGCGTTATTTTGAACTAAACTGAATAATAAAGATTGTTGCTTGTTAGAGTCTTGTTTGAGAGTATAGATTAGGATATATTAAATCCGGAGACATAATACTGGTGCCACGACCCGACTAGTTTTAAGAACTAGACGGAGAATTCAAAAAAAATTTAAATAAAAAGAGAAATAAATTGAAAATGTCTGGATCTGATTTTGCTCCTGAACATTTTAGTTCAGAGGAAAAGAAATATTTCAGCACTATCCTTGCTCAATTGCGCTCCTTTGAACGTTCGGTGGCAAAGAGCTTCCGAAAAGTAGAAGGAAGATTAGAAATTATTGAGAAAAATATTGAAAAGAATAAGAATAGTTTAAAAGCAACTAAAGGTTCTGTAACGAAATTACGAAATTTTTTAAAAGATTTTAATAAAGATATTCAGTCAAAAATGGGGAAGTTCGAAAATTTGAGTGGAAATACTGAAGATATAGACGAAGAAGAATTTGAAAATAGTTCAGTTAATGATTCAAATGAAGCAAATGATTTGGTAAATAGTGAAGAAAATTACCAGGAAATTATGATAATTTTAGATACCGTATATGCTCAAATAATTACCTTAATTATATTTTCTAACTTTCGCTAGTGGAGATAATTATTTGAGAGCGGGTAATTATTTGAGCATATACGGTATACCGTATTTTCCTAATAAAATTGCATGCAGCTGTATTTTTAAATTTCCTCTGTAAGGACCTCTCTAGCGGATAGATCCTCTCTCAAATAGAAAAATACGGGAGAATAAATTTTTGTAGAGATAAAGATTCTTAACTTTGCAAAAATTCTAATTGGTAATGGAATTATTAGATTTATTACGGATTGGAGATTAATCGAGTATTGGGAATTAGCTCATATATTCAGATATACCCTCTAAATAGACCAATATTTCTCCTACTAAGTAATATATAAAAAATCATTGTTAATTTAATTAATGGAAAATTTTAAAAATCAACATCAAAAAAATAAATCAAATCTGTCTTAATCTATTGAGATTATTACTCGTGGTAATTATATTATTTCCTTGTGAAAATACATACAAAATTGGAAATGCAACTGCGATAACTCTATCAACGCTCATAGTTAAAAACATTATGTTAACAATATTAGCACAAACAACAGAATGACCTTGAATTTTAATAGCCAAAGAAACTGGTATAAAATTTATTCCAGTCAAAGTAATAAAAAAGAAGACAAAATGTCCGCTTTGATGCAAAATTTCCAAAAATGAGTTAATTGCCAATAAAATACTTGTTTTGGATTTGAATGTTGTATATTTGCCCCTAAATTTATTTAAAATATTTTATATTAATATAGTAGATAAAATATCAAATACTAATAAAAACAGCCAAAAGTTTAGATTTTTGGCTTAAAAGTACGTTACTAGTAAAATTTATGAGTCCAAATACTATGTACAAGTATGACCAAAAAATTAATGACTCATACGAGTAAGAGCAAATCTGAAATTTTGAAGACTGGGCCTACACAGATAAAAAAATTGCTCGTACTCGTACATACCTAATCGTTTTCTCGTAATCGTACAATTACGAGTACGAATTTTGGTACGAGCTTCCAATCATGGACCTAACCCCATCGGTGTTTTTCAATGTATTGTTTTCAAGAACTTTCCACATTCTTAGCAGACCACACCATCATGAAACTAGTTAAACTATAATGTTAATTTTCCCATATTTTGGAAATGTCGTAAACAAGAGTGAATCTCAGCTAAATTCTTGATTCAAGGAAATTTTAGTTTAAACTCCTAAATCTCGCAAATAAATACCAATATTTCCATGTAATATAACAAACACTTGAATTTAAAATAATTCCAATTGTTGCCGGTATGGTCAGTGATAGCGCTGGAAGGAATAAAGGAAGATGGAAGCCAGGATCTTGATATGCCAGGAAAATGGCCTTAAATTTGATTTATATAAAACGGATAGGTCTTGATTAATTTATTAGGATTTGAAAATAAACGTTATTTTACTTTACACAATCATAATAAAAAATTATGCAAAAATTTTTCGTTTTTCAAAAATTATGCAAAAATTCCGAAATATGCAAAAATATGCATTGTTTTTTTTATCCAACCCTCTTGAATCCATTAGGAATGGAATAGGCAGATTATTATTTTAAATATAATGTTAATAAACATACCGGAAGTGAAGTTGAATTGTTCATTATACGATTTTTAATAATTCACTAAATTCAATTAAGATCCAGGAAAAGCGATATGGATGAAGAACAAAGATTAATTTAAAGAAGAATTAAGAACTACGAAAATACGCAATATCTTATATATTTTGAAAAATTCTTGAAATTTAATTTTTAAACATTAAAAAATAATTTTTCTGATTTTATGTACTATGTGCATATGAAAACTAATTTAATTTTCTTTGAATATTAATACATAAAAAATTATTTTATTAACGTGTGATATAGTATAATAATTTAAAGAAACATTTAGTTACATATTCCCATTTACGCAGAAACTTAAATCTTAATTAGATTTTCTAAATAATTCTATATAATTTAATTTTTAAACGAAATTAAATAATACTTTTCAAGGGGAAAATATTAAATGTAACAATTTTGAGTTAGAATTGAAAATTATACTTTTAAATGTAAACAGGTAATTAAGGAACAATTTTTTAAAAATTTATTGTAAATAAAATTTAATAATTACATATCACTTGTTTGCCGCATTCTAACGTCAAGAAGCGTTGTACCCCTTGTTCCCACTGGATATTAATTTTATTAAATTATAATGTATGTATAAGCAACGTTTCTTGAATTTTAAAATTATATATTGAATTTAGCTTAAAAAATTTTACTTGAAAGAAAAAAAAAACGCCTAAACGAAAATAATTACCTCATAGATGATTATTATTATAATCACCTCGGTAATTATTATAATCACCTCATAGCCCTTCGACACTGAGTAAAATTTTTCTCTAACAGTTCGAACTCAACACATTTATTATCAATGGCAATCATCAAAAATATCGAAAAGCACTTAATCCCCACCTTCTAGTGGAACAGAGATGTTTCGAAACAAAAAAATCTTCGAAAATCGGAAATCAAAAATCGAAAACAATCCAAAAATATCGAAATCGAAAATATTTTTCAAAATCTTCGAAATCGAAAATCGAAAATCGAAAGAAAAATAACCTCGAAAATCGAAAAACGAAAATCGAAAAAAAATTTTTTATAAAAAAATTGAAAAATAAATTTTTATGGTAGGTCTCATTGTCAGTTGGAACTTTTGCTTGAACTCTAAGGAATTGGGGAAAACAAATGACTAGAATCGGAGATCCAGGGAAATCACGAATATCCAAACCCAAAATTTTGCATATCCGAATCTACGGCACAGGCTCCGATCTATTAAAATCTTGGCTTCGGAGCCGGTGATTTTCATAGCCGCTTCATGTTGTCTCCAGATTCCTTGTGTTAAGTTAAAGATGTGTGGATTAAGAGGGATAACGGAGGATTTGAGCAAAATCCCCTGATATAGTAAAGTAGAGCTAGGCCGTTTTACTCATAGGGTTGGGCGGTAACTGGCATGGGGTTCCGGCATGGGGGGGGGGGGGGGGGTTCCAAATCCAACTTAATTCAAGCAAATCCTCCAATATACCGGAGCCGAACCTATGGTTAATAGTATCGTTAATAGTTCAGGGATTCCTCCAATTAGGATTTTGGAAGACCATGTCACCAGAATTCTTCTTTTTCAGCGCCGCAGGCGAAAATTTTAAGAATTTTGGAGGATCCTTAAGCCAAAAATCGTCTCTTTTCAGCGCCGCAGGCGAAAATTTTGAAAATTTTGGAGGAAACATAAGCCAAAAATCTTCCGTTTCCAGCGCCGCAGGCGAAAATTTTAAGAATTTTGGAGAATCCTTAAGCCAAAAATCGTCTCTTTTCAGCGCCGCAGGCGAAAATTTTGAAAATTTTGGAGGAAACATAAGCCAAAAATCTTCCGTTTCCAGCGCCGCAGGCGAAAATTTTAAGAATTTTGGAGAATCCTTAAGCCAAAAATCGTCTCTTTTCAGCGCCGCAGGCGAAAATTTTTTAAATTTATGATGGCCGTTAAGTCAGAATTCCTCATTTTTGGCGCCAAAAATTCAAATTTTTTCAAAAATTCGGAAATCGAAAATCGAAAATATCACAAAATTTCGAAAATAGGAAATCGAAAATCAAAAGGGAAAAAACCTCGAAAATCGAAAAACGAAAATCGAAATTTCGAAACATCTCTGTAGTGGAATAAAAAAAATAAGAAAAAATGCGTAATATAAAGCGAAACATTGTCAAAAAGTGCTTAAAATTTACAAAAAATCATAAAATTTACAAAACTAACAAAATTTATTCCTTATTTTCTTCAATTTTTAAACATTTCCTTTCTTCGTTCCTTATAAATTCGTATTGTTTATTATCTTCGTGCAAATGTACAGAATCCAAATTAATTCCCTTTGTTTCAATTAAAAATAATCAAGAAATCAACAAATTTATTGAACCAATAAAGACAATAATTAAATAAACACTTGCGGGCCAACGAGTATTTAAAAATACTAACTGAAAATAATTAAATTTTGAAAATTTTATGAAAATTTTAAAGACCACTGGAGCAATTAAGGTACCAATACGAGCTATAAGTGAACATGAACCAACTGATGAGGCTCTAGGTATTAAGGGATTATTTTAGTTGAGGAATAAAATTTTAAAACCTCAATGATGTTGGCACCGATTCTACGGCGCTAAAAAATTATTTAAAATTATTATTTATAAATCAAACCAGAGATAGCAGGCATCCCTGAAAATATAAAAAATTTTGATTCTTTTGTTCAATTTTTTAGAAAATTAAAAAAAAACTCTTACGTGGCATGGAACGATTTTCGAAGGCGAGGGGATTGTTGGAAAACGTCCACAAGAGCAACACGAGTTTTCTTTCATAGAAAGTGATTTCTACGTTTAATTCCCCTTCCCACCCCCATCTATTTACAAGGGGACGGGGATCATTTACCCATTTTTTACCCTTGTCCTGTTGGGTCAAATTCCGTTTAAAATTAAATAACAACCAAGTTAATTCAATGAAAGTTATTCCAATTAAATTAGCCAAAAGAATTCCAATTCCATCATGATCATAAAAAACGAAGAAGACTAGAAGCGATGCAGAGATAATTACTACAAGTTGTGCCCCTTGATGGAGATTACGCCGAGAAAATTTTGGAAATACAGTATCAACTATAACAAGGCATATTTTAGAGATTGCACATATCGACGAAAGAAGGCTCTTAAAAATTGAAAAAATGTATCCATATGCGATAGATGCTTAACATATTTAGATGCTTAACATAGCCAGAAAACCTAGGGTAATAGATCAGTTCGTACTCCCCCCCCCCTCTTTTTTTTCCTCAAAGTATTAAAAAATGGTCAGTCAGTTTTATTTGTAGAACTCGTCGAGCTGTGTCGAATGACATCAAAATCAACCACCGATCTTAACGACCGAGATACAGACAAAAACACTTCGCAAAGAGAAGTTTTGCAAAAGCGTCTCAGACTATGTACAACTGGATTAATTGTTTATCGAATTTTTAGCCCAAAAAATGAGCTTGGTCCACCCTTTTATTTTTCACATTTTGGGGGTCTGTATCTCGGCCCAAAGTTAAGATCGGGGGTTGATTTTGGTGCCAATAGACACAGCTCGACGAGTTCTATAACCTCTGAATGACTGACCATTTTTTAATACTTTTAGGAAGGAAAAAAAGGAAGGTACGAACCGAACTATTACCAAACCTAGTTTAAAAAAGTAGTTTACTTGATTAAGAAAAAGATCGCCACTAATATTTGAGCTATTTAAATCTATAGAATATCCTGAAATTGCTGCTGTGAACCTTTTAAAAAAATTTAAAAAATAATCAGATACCGTATTTTCTCGATCCCCACCCTCGATTAATTCCCCACTCTCGATTAATTCCCCATGCCAGAGATGGGTTGAAATAATAATTCCCCAGGGGAATTAATCGAGAAAATACGGTAATTCATTTCACTTGCCACATGACCCAAAGAACCGAAACACGTCTCAAAAGCGTCTTATCTTTGATTAAATTCCAAAAAGAATTTTCCTTTGGTGATAATTTTTCATGTTCAGGTAATTTAATTGTCGGTGGAAGACCTGCTAACCGGGCAATTTTTCTTTCATTTATTCGCATTTGTTCAAGACGACCCTTACTATGCTTTAAAATATTTTTTAAATTTTAAATTTTTAAAATATTTAAAAGTATACTAGCCATGTTGGACTTTCAGGCATTAAAAATATTATAATAATTAATGCAGGCATTGAAAATATAGCACAAGCAATACTTGAAGAACGCCAATCAGGGAAAAACATACAAATCAAAGTAAATATTAGGCGGGCAACTCCCTTGAAAAACAAGATATTTTACTCATTTTTTACTCAAAAACAAGATTTTTTACCCACTAACTGTCCTATCAGAATCAGATCTGAGACTGAAAGACGGACATTTTTTCGACCAGAAACCTGCCTCGAAAAAAATTTTGAAACACAACCCGATTATTTCTTAACCCATGAAATCAGGATCTGAAATGTAAAGCTTCCAAATGACCCGTACAACTTTTAAACACCCCCCACCCCTTCCTCAAAAAACTAAAGTACCCAATTAAAAAATCCCCTAATAGCCATCCTTTGAGTTGGTAACAATTGTTCCATCACAAAAGTATATACAACGACCAAATCTCCTCCAATACAGAGACCAAGAATAAAACGGCAAAATAATAAGAAATGCCAATTGGGTGCAAATCCTTAAGAAAAAAATTTTAAAACGTCAAAAATTATTACCAGTAGCAAACATTGAAGCAATTCCAACAGTTAATGCAAAAATAGAAACAGGTTTACGTCCAAATGCATCTGATATTGCTCCAAAAGTTAAAGTGCCAATGAGCACACCAGCAAATTGTATTTGGCTTCAATCAAAAAATTTTTAATTAAAAATGTTTATTAAAAGGTTTAGAAATAATAATTTTCAGAAACAGTTTTATGATTTAAAGAATGGTCATGTTTTTCAAATGTTTGGTTCAGCTCTCACGGAGAGTGAAATGCCAAGAGTGATTTGCTACTCTTAGGGATCAACGCCGGCATTCTCCTATGCGGTGTCTAGGAGATTAAAGGCATCTTTTTTAATTGATGGTGATTGGAAGGATTACCAAAAGCTCAATGCCGCAAAGCTAATGAAATTAAGTAATTTTACACTACAAATAAATTTTTCATATAACTTCCAATAGGAAAACAATTTACCTAAATAAAGCTCGATTATATGCATTAGCTCCACAAATCCAGCCAAATTCCATTGCCGCTGAATGAAAAGGTATATTCTCTTCAAATTGTATCAAATTCTCTGGACATTGTTGATATATTGTACAATTTCTAGCAAAATTGGAAGTATTATTTAATAAACATTTCCATTTTGGTATATAATTTGAAAATACGGAAAAAATCATTTGGGTTGCGAAGAAAATTCCAAACAGCCAACATAACAGAACACAATAATGGAACCGATTGAAATTGAAGGAACAAATAGAATTGATGTTTGTTCTCCTAAACTTGTTGGTGTTGTTTCTGTTGTCCTCGTTGTCCATCCCTAATCTTGGCAAAAATGGAGATTTTCCATTTTGTTGATCAGACGTCATTTTTATATAAATTTAAAAGTTATAAAATGATTTAAATTTAACGTAGGTTTTTCGGAAATTTTCAAATAATGTGTCTATGTGCTGCTCAAGGGTTCTTTTCAACCCAAGGGTCTGATTGCCGCTCAAGGTTTCTTATTTTCAATTGAATAATGCTTGAGTTAAAGAATATAATGACAGATTTTTTCTTCTATTTTATTTATGTAAATAAAATGATAAAAACAAAAATCTTTACATTCTAAACCTCTTAAAAAAAGATAAGAGAAATTTGGTATAAAATCAATGTTTTGAAGAGAATTTCTTTTAATACATATTACCACTTTGTTATAAAGAACAGCTTAATTTTATTATTATTCTATAAAATTTCCTCTTTGAAATTTAAAAAGAATAAAAGCATAAATCACTGCATATTGTTAAGGCAACCTAAAAAGGTACAGCAATAGAAACATAGAAACATAAATTTTCAAACAGCTGTTGAGGACAGCGACTAGTGATTAATAAAAAAATTCAAAATTCAGCAATTACACACGGATTGTGCGTTTTTTCGAGAACAAACATGAAATAATATGTTGATCTGAAAATCATCAAGAACGGACACAACTGTACCTACATATTATATTTTATTTATAAAATTTAAATTGATAATTTATAAAAAAAAATATTTTATTACTTTTAAAATTCCAAGTATTTCTCGAAATAATACTCAAATAAAATTTACAAAATTTTGATTATTTTGTAATTCTTGAAAACATGTTTATTGTTTTGACTGGAAAAATATTATTTTTTTCTATTTTTAAAAATCTGTTTACCTTTCTATTACTACAAAAATACAATTTTTAAAAATAAATTCATATGAAAAGCACAAAAATACACGTGAAATTCATTTTAAAATAAATGAATAATCCTTTACTTCATAATATTATTTTCTTATTATTTTCTTTTTTCTAGCTAAAACTTGTCAGTAAACCTGCAAATATTTATTTATAAATGTTGTTGTGAAAAAGTATTAACATTTAAAATTCTTAAAATAACTCCTTTTTGTTTAAATTGCGTCATCCTAAGTTTAACACCTCCCCATGGTTACATCTTGCATTGGCTGAAAATTCCGATTTTCGGAGCCCGACTCGTGTCCGAATTCTATTTTAGAGTTTTATAAATATAATTTGTTTATTAAAACAAAATTATATTTTTCCCTTATAATATTTACATAAATTTATTTTCACGTGAATTTCTCATATTTTCAGCTGAAAATATTATTTTTCCCCATTTTATGCGCGTCTATTCAGCCTATTATTATTTCACTTTTTTCTAAATTTTGAGTGTTTTGCAGCATTTCCCAAACTAAAATAAACAGAAAAATTAAATTTAAAAGGGCAAGTATTGGGAAAACAAAAAAATTTTTTTATTTGTATTAGTAAATATTTTTATTTTCAATTTGAATATTTTTATTTACCAGTTTTTTTAATTTTTAAAATTATTTGCACTTTATCCCAGATTAATAATTTAAAATATTTGGCTTCTAAAATTTAAATGATCTTAGTTTTTTCTACTCATTTTCACTATCATTCTTTATCACGAAAAAAATCCACAATGTTTTGCGTCAGGATTCAAGCCAAGAATCTCTCGATATCTCTTCAAAATCCTCTTTGAATATCCATCTTAATACCCCCTCCCCTCCAACTCCTTGATATTGATGTTAATCCAATATCGAGGGAGTAACAAAATTCCTGAACTTGCCGAAAATCTGAGTTAATTTTTGTGTCTGAACAGGATCTCTGATGTAAACTTTACATTATTTCTAAACAGCCCACCCCTACTTTCTTGATTTTTCCTCACTTCCGTCAAAATACATTTTTATTTAACTTTCACTTCCGTTTAATTATTTTTTTAAGAAATAGACTTGACATAGGGATAGAAAATCAACTGTATATAGTAAATATTTTTTCCATTTTCCTATTCATTTATTTAATTTGTAAATAAATATTATTAATATTTAATTTAAACTATATGTTTTTCGCCTTTTATGTTAAGGATCACTCAGTCCAGGTTCTCGATCATCGAAAGTAATTCCCTCCAAAATCTAATAAAATTCCAAAAAATTTCCAAAAATTGGGAATTCTCGACGTTTTTTGGCCGGGAATTCCCGATCCTCGAAATCGAAAATTTATTTTTTTAGGATGGAAGGATGGTAGTGCGAAACTTGCGGACCGACTTTTGCGGACCATAGGTTTAGGTTTTTGTTTTTCTATCGTAACTTTGTCCAAACTTGTACAATCACGATGATTTTGATGTCATTCGACTCAGCTCGTCGAGCTCTTTCGAATGAGCTATGTTTTGAGAAATTCGTCGGGTCCGCAAGTTTCGGTCCGCAAAAGTCGGTCCGCAAGTTTCGGCCTGCCTTTTTTGTATGTCTCACTTGTGTGTAATTTTCTTTTCTAATTTAGTTGTTCACGTCCTCCTAAATCCCAACATTTTCCCTCATATGTAGTGGAACAGCAGGGATGACGCAATTTTAAAAAAAAATTTTCGCAGACGCAATCCGTAGTCCGCAATCTGCAGATGCGTCCAGCCCTGGTGCCGTTCCGATTTTTGAAATCAGGAATTTATCTTTAATACTGGTAGGATCGAGTTACAGTACAGTCCTTATCAATTTATATTTTGGCGAATTTTACTCAAAAACTTTTTTAATCATTTTAAATTACCTTACTTTTAGCAAAAATATTTTTTCCAACGTTTCAAAAAATTGTATCTTTTTTTGTTTATATTTAAATTATTTATTCACAATCTATAGATTAATTCTATAGATTAATTCCCACCATAAATATTTTTGAAAAAGCTGCACTTTACAAGTACGCATTAAATACTCCTCTAAACTTCTCAAAGCTCAAGGTTTTTTCTTCCCTCTTCTTTGTTTGTCCGCGTTTCTCCGCGTTTCTATGTATAACCAACAAAATGAAATTCACGTGAATTTTGTGTGAACCTCACAAAAAATATTTTTCTCTCTTTTTGCTACCAGCCGCTTAGGGAAGAGAAGGAATAAAAAGACGGCTATACGACATTTGCGGGCCGACATTTGAGGATATTATGCATATATTTTTCTAAATTAATTGTAAGATGAAGCCCGAATTTTTCCTTTTTCAACTTTTTAAAATTTTTCAAAATTCGCAGTTTGAACAATGCTTCAAAAACTATCGCAAATCCGAAATTTTTCAAAAATTTCGGAAATCGAAGGGAATAACGGCGGAAATCAGAATTCCAACAATCCTCTGGTTTCTAGTTTATAGCTTACATAATTTTATTGCCATAAGTTTGTTCTAACTCTATATCATTTTATGAATAATTACCAGCTTGTTTTTATAAAATTAACCTCTATTTTTATCATTTTTAACACCGATTTTGAACTTCATACTCCTCAAATGTCTCGTCCTCAAATGTCGCATCATGAAAATAAAAATCGTAAATGAGAGAAAAAAAGGGATTTCAGCACATTTGGTCCTTTATAGTGGGTAAATATTTATGTTAGAGTTTATTTTAGACAGACTGTCTGTCATGTTGTCTATTTATTCCTTGCGACAGCTGCTTAATTCTCTACTATTTTTTAAAATTTAATTTTTTTTCTTCTCCTTTTTTGTTCCAATATTTATTTTTCTTCATTAATATTTGGAGCTTTTATTTGACGTTCGCTTTAGCATTTCGTCGAAAAAAATTTTATTTAAAAGGGCATTGTGAAAGCTTGTCTGGGTAACTTAGCTAGACCGGATATGTTGTTTGAGTGAGAAGCTATTAATGACTACATAAATATATTTAAATATAATGTTGGTTTGTCTGGAGAAATAGTAGAAAGAAACAAAAATTAGAAGAGACTAGCAATCTCTCAAAGTTAGAGACCAGACTAGAAGTGTTGTCGAGATATCTAAAAAAATTTTGAAAATTTTGAGCTTAACTGCGCGGACTAAAATGAAAATGTGTAATATTTAACGCTTAAGACGCCCAAAGTTTTTTAGCGCCGCTGGAAAAAAATTTTATTTGAGGTTAACAAGGAGTTTTGTTCGAGAGGTCTCTCAATCCTGTCTCTAGACCACTATGTTTTGCACCTCTTTTAATGATAATAATAATAATCCTAGTACCTCTAACAATATACGACAACCCTACTTTTATCATTAACATTTAGAAAATTAATTAAAATTGCCTCAACTTGACTTAAAATCACAATTGTTACATATTTGCCTATTCAATTCCCTATTCACGTTAATTTTTAAATTTCTTTATAAATTTTCTAAAATTAGTTACTAAAAATAATTAATAACTTCCTTCCCTCTTAAAAAATATAAAAAACTTTATCCATCATTTTCATTAAAAAATCTCAAATTTCCTCATTTTACATCTACCAATTATTTCCTTAGCAACCCCTCAATCTCTCAATTCCGCTTTTCTTCGTACAATAACGTTCAATTTCCCCACATATATCCCTCTCTCCTCAATTAATTTTTAGCTTTCGACATCGTTAATCATTTTATTTTGCTTTAATTCTCCTCCCACCACAATCCATTTATTTGTCCGTTTCATATGAATTTCACGTGAATACGACAGCCTCTATTTATTCACTTTATTCTCAGCGCCTATTCATCCGACAAAAAATTTTTTTTCATTTTTATGCTTTTCATGTGGATAGATTTTGTTTGCTATATAATTCCGTTCCTTTCTGTGTTAGTATTTTATTTTATTTTTAAAACTACACAAGTCCATAGTTTACAGAATAACTTTACAATTGTAATACGGAACAAGTTTTTTTGTTTAAAAATGCTTTTAAAGCATTTTTATTCACACATTTAAAATATTTTTAGAATGGAGGCCAAAAACTATAATTAAATATTTTTTATATTATCACATCACTATTTATTTTATAAATTTTATTATTTAAATAAACATTCTTCATTTTTATTTATTTTTATATTTTATTTATGATATTTTACTCGCTATAATTATTTTTACTCGCGAATATC